TTCCGATGTCAAATAAAAATAGTCTGGGGATTAACTACTTAAGGAAAAGTTTACTATCTACTTAAAAAAAATTACCCATGCCATTTCTCTCCCACGTTACTGTGGTGAAGGTTAAGTTAGCGTTGGCTATAGTCTATAGTCTTACGAACGACAAGAACCTCTACTCTAAACCTGATAGACTAGGAATCACGCAGTTTCTATGACTGATGTACAAAGCCTGTCCTAGTTGCAAAAGTCGGCATCTGATCCCACCGGCAAGGATCCAACCAGACTCTGCTCCTTGGTTATATCTGCACTCAGCATAAGCAATCTTGTACCAAAGAACATACAGTTGTCTGAATTGCCCTAACTCTCTGGGGCTATAGAGAATTTAAGCCAGAATTGCTCTGGAGGTGTAAAAATGCTAAGGTTTTTATACAATATACTCATATTCCATATTCCTTTTTTCAAATAAAAACGTTCACAAGAGTGTAAAAGATGTTGAAATACCGAGAGAGGTGACCTTTTGTAAGCACATTCACGTTCTCCTGGGAAATAAAGAATAAAGTCATTCACCACCAAGTGTAATATTCCTCACTTCCACAGGCCTGATGAAAGGAGTCAACACAGGTAGTTTCAAATTAAAGCACAGTTGGAGCAGCGAGGCTGGAAATGTATCTCTGCAAGGAGGTATAAGGAGGCAACAGGATGCTGTTTATGAAAGCTTGCACGTGATCGGAACCTGCCAGGGCTTCATCCCTGTCCCCTCACCCCCCATTAGTTTGGTCACCAGGACAAGCCCTAATGCAGCCACTTAATTTAACATCTGGGGATGACAGGAAATAAGACTCCATTGCAAAATGAGCGCTATTCCCACACACCCCACATACGGAAGCACATGACTCCAGTAAGCAGAAAGGGCAAAGGTTATTTCTAACGATTTCTGTGTAAGTGCTGAGAAATCCTGGGCTTGCCCATTACAGAGGCGCTGCGGAGCCCAATTCTGTAATGGAAATGCGGGACAGGAGGGCCCGTTCCAGACGGGGAGAGGTCATGTTACCCGCCAGGGACACAGCTGGTTTGGGGCAGGCCCAGATTCGAACCTCAGGTGCCCATCCTCCACTCCCAGAAAACTCTCAAAATAACAGAACGTAAGGAACTGGGCCCCGCAATCCACTGTGCCCCAGAATTAGTTTCTATAAAATGAAAACTAATAACTCATCAAGGTGGCGTCCTGGCCATTCCTCCCCGCTGATTTATGTTCGTTAGATCGGCAGACAAAACTGGTTTATATTTTCTTAAGATGTCAGTTTGCGGCTTGTGTTTTCTTTCTTTTCAAATCCTTTAAAATTGTCTGCCTTATTGTTCCTTAAAATGACAAACATCCATCTAAAAGTACCATGACTTTGGGGGTGTCTCGTTCACAGGGGACACCTTTTATGCACATGCTCTGTAGGACCTTTATAGTGGAAAACAAATCACTTTGCAGTCTTGATCAATGAAATGTCCCCAAACTTGGTGGCATGCCATGTGGAATATAAAGAAGCGGCCACATCCCCAGGGCTTGGGGAGAGGAAAGGGAAGCAGCATCATTTGTATAAAGAGGTTCACAAGGTCCTGACGGAGAAGGTTCTAACACCTTCATTAACAAAGGTTTGGTTCCTTGAAAATCATTTCATGAAGGTAGGTGAGCATATTTTCATATATAAAGCCCTAAGGATTATACAGCTATTTGCCTCTTTATGGGGAGTTTTCTTTTCTCTCTAGTTAATTAATATCATAATTTCTAGTTTTAGAAACTGTGGGAGAATAATCCCACGTGCATTTGGCCTAACCCCTTTTCTTATTCAGCTCATGGATGCACATTTTATTATTCATCTTGATTTGAACAAAAGGCAAGATTTTCCCCCCTTCCGCTCAGAAACTACCTTTGGGAAATTAATATTCAAGATGAACAATGAACTCATCTCATGGCCTGTGAACTTGCTGGTTGCCAGGAGGCCTGTGAATTCTTAGGATTATTTTCGATTTGGTAGCATGAATCAGGGGCTTAAATAGTCATGTACGGCATGGTCTTCAAAATTTAAAGTTTCAGAATTCTCTAACTGTCCATTTGTAGGATCTCCTTAAGTTTGATATGTGTCTATTCTAACCTCTTGAGCTTAAGTGTAGTTTATCCCAAAGGTACGTGAAAAAGCCAAGGCTAAATGTCAAGCCTGTTGCTATAAATCACATTTCAAACTGGTAGTTACTTATTAGTGAAAAAAGACTGTTTGAAAAGCTTCTGTCTCATTAGAAAGCGATTATGGAATGCCTATAATTTTGGCTTAAATAAACAGAGTTAAACTTGAAATACCTACTGTGCGATAGTAGGCCAGATCAAAAGGACAGCTATTCAAATTTCCAAGGACCTCTCCTTTCCTAAAGTTAAAAAAAATATATATATTTTTAAGGAATATTTGTTGGAGGGGATTTCTAAAAACAGTCTCCACTGAAGTTATTTCAAGTCATTTAGTATTTCTCTGAAGAAGCTTATCTTGTCCTTTGAACCCAACAAAAAACCCTCTTTTTACTGAGAATAAGTATGATAAATACTAGCAGCTATTATGGCAGAACGACTGGACAAACAGAAAGAAGTATGAAAAGCTTCATGTGTTTCTAAGCTGCTTCATTTTCTATTTCATTTTATGTGACAAAGGCTCTGTTTGTATCCAGAGTCACTAACTTGATATAGGTGGGCTTTCTTACATTTGTTAAGGGGAAGACAACTTCTCCAAAATGATGTCCAAGTGTCTCAATATACCATCTATTACTATCAACACTGGTATTTGGAAAGGAACCATATTTGAAAAGGAAATTGACAAGCTACTCTCAATCTCCCCCAAAAAGATGTGTATGAGAGAGATTCCACCTACTCTCCCAGTGTTCATTGTAGGTGTTTGTCTTAATATTTACTTTATCCTTCCATGAGCCCCAACCCTTTTTATTATACATATTGGCTAATAATTAAAATAAAGAATAAATAACAGCTTCCGTCCTTGGACAAAACCATATTATACCCAACCCTGCAGCCCCATGAGAATCTAGCAAGGCACTTTGCTTGAGGTGGGGGGAGACTCCATAAAATGCTGAATGAATAACACAGTTTCTTCATCCCCCACCTTCTGGTTTTCTTTTCTCAGTAGTAACCTAACATGAAACCTGCACAGACAACCACCAACCTGAAAGAGCTGATCCTTCACTATCCCCATAGGACCAGCTTACTATTTACAAGTCAAGAAATAAGAGAATCAAAGAAAATGAAAAGCTTCCCCCTCAAGCCCTCAAAAATGCCTTGAAAAACTGCCAATAGCAGAGAAGTTCTTTAGCAAAGAATAAAAATGTGATCATAATGATGCTATGACGAGATAGGTGAAAACAGGCTCCATGGGAACGTGCCTGAAAGCATTACAGAGTCTTGCAGGTTTGTTGAAGACATTATGGCCACCTGCCCTCCTACAGCCTCACTCTTGGTATCAGTACTGATTCCTGAAGAGGGGCAAAAAAGAGGCGAAACTCTTCAGTGTGGAATGAAGACATTCAAACCCCAAGGATATGCAACCTGAGATTATCTGAACACTCAGTGTAGACATGGGTTTATGGCCATACGTGTTTTGAGGTTACACTTGGATTTAGGTGTATTTCAAAATTTACTGCCACCAGCCTGAAGAATAAAGCGACCACAGCAGTGACTGACTTCAATTACTGAAGTATAAACTGTAGTTGTCACTTCCTTTACAAATCTGGCTTTTCATGACAGGGAAAATCAAGGGAGCCTTATTGCCAAAACAGCACACCCTTATGTCACCAGATTTTGCAGTAAAAAAGACGGTTATTTTATTTAGGTTTTATACTCATGGAAATGCACTCACAAGACATTTTTAAAGCATGAGATACCGGCCCCAGTTTTGTTTTTTTTTTTCAACTTTTTGTTTTAGGAGAAAGATAGTAGAGCTAGACTTTGAGTACCAACTGCAAGCTTAAAGCAATCTTCCCAGGATTTAGAGTGATTTGGTATAGATGTGTTTTCAAATATAACCTCGGTTTTCCCATGACATTTTGTTTAGAAGAAAATGAATTCATTCAGAGTGAAAAACAGACAAACCAAAATTGGTGTCTTACACATCATTACACACAAGTGGCCAACAGTAAGTAAGGAGAAAATAACGAGAAGAGTTTCAGGATTTTCCTCCTTCAGCGTTTCAAGTATTTTATCCCTGGGTTTCCAAGTCACACAGCAAAGCCATCCGCTGTATTTCCAAAGGGAACTAACTGGCGCCTTCAGAAATGCTTCTATGCGTTTTAAGATGAAATCCTTCATTCCCGTTTACCGTTTTGTTTGTCCTTTCTGTCTGACATGCAAATACATGACACAGCCTCCATTCTTACCGTACAACCTGATTCAAAGCAACATATGTTAAATCCACACAAAATCATGTGAGCATTCAATCCGCATACACACCATTACCCCATCGAATGCATTCAATGAGCTGCAACACAGTTCCCTGCGTGCAAGCAGACCAGCCTGAGACCTCTTCCCTGACTCAAACCATCCCGAACTGTGCATGGAACCTGTTCCCTTTTAAAAAAGAAAGGCTGTTTAAATACCCACTAGGATAATAACTGGCCACAATGCGGGAGCGAGCAAGCCCGATACTGCGGGCAACGGCGGACACAGGCTCTTCCACAAGCTCAAGGAGGCTGGGCGCCCGAGCTGGCGGTCATTTATCTGTGCAGCCAAAACGCCCGGCACGTCCCCCTCCCAGATTTCACCTAACTAATAGCTCTCCAACCCCATATTGAGAGGGCCTGCTGTGGATCTTGCGGAGGTACAAAATGGTGGATGTGAGCTAATTTTTTTCCTGCTTTCCCCATAACTTATCGCATCCATCACCGCCCGTCCTCCCGGGGAAGCACCCCGGCCGCGGCGCTCGGAGCACGCCCCGTGGCCCCGGCCTGGGGGCAGGAACGCGGTTACCAACCTGATGTCATGTAGCCCCGCGAAGCCTGGGGCGCGAAGGCCGCGGGGAAGCGCTTGTGCAGGCGGTAGTCCTTCTCGCTGCGGGACCTCATGCGGTCCGAGGCCCGGTCCGAGAAATCCGAGCTAGGCCAGGCTCGCCGCAAGGTTGTGCTCCGGGTCTTCTTCATGGTGGGGAGGGCGACCCGCTGCCCCGATCCTCGGGGCCTCAGCGCCGGGGCGCAGCGCGCGGCTTCATCCGTCTACGGCGGGCACGACCCGGGCGGACTCTGCGCGCATTTTCCCAGCCCCTCCTCGTCGGCGTCTACACCGCCAGCGGCGGGTCCGGCCCTCCCCACGCCCCCACACCCCCCCACGGCGAAGGCTCCGATTTTACACACGTCCCACAATGCATTACACTTCATTTGCAATCCGCCCGGCTTATAGCTTCCAGATTCCTGGGGGGAAAGGCACGTTAGGAGGCTCCCCGGCCAGGAGGAGGCGGGGAGGGGGCGGGCGGGGTGAGGGCGCCGAGACTTGCAGCGTGAAAGCAATGGGAGCGCAGACAATGGCCCGATTCAGCGCAGGAGTGCTTAGCCAACTGTGAGCCACGGCACAAAAGACCCAAACAAATGAGGAAGCCCAGGCCTCCGGGGGTGACCCGGGATCGGGCGCTCGGGAAGCCGGAGGGGCGGCGGAAGACCCTCTCCGCACCGGGCGGCTCAGAGCGAGGCGTGGGGATGACAGTGTCCAAGTCGTGTCCCCCTGGGCCTATCAGCCGCGCGGCTCGCAGTCCCGGGCGCGGGCTGGCTCTGCCTCCACTGCAGTCCTCGGGAGGCAGTCTTCATTACAGAGGCTCGGATGGGGGGCGCGTGTGCACAGGATCCGAGCAGGCTCTGCAGTCAGCAGCTGCGGCGGCGGGCTCCTGCCGAATCCAGGAAGAGTCCTCGCGACTGCAGCGCCTCGTCGATCTTCCTCCTTCCAAGGCTCAGGGTAGTGTGCGTGCGTGTGTGCGTGTGCGCGCGCGCGCGCCGACACGCATGTGCCCCCCTACACAGGCATGCTCCTACTTACTGGCCGCGGCGGAGACGGGAGCCATGGCTGCCAAGGATGCGGAGCCTGCCGATCGCCGCCCGCACGGCGGCACAGCTGCTCAGTCGCGAGCGCGCAGAATGGCTATTGAGGGACAGGAAGCCGGGAGGCCGCTCAGACTCATGCTAAACACCGAGCTGCCTTAAGTTAGAGCACGGATCCTGTCAGGCTTCTCATTTTCATGTAAAACACCCTGCGGCGGCCCTGGGATTTGGCTGGTGCCCCAGCCAGGAGTCAGCGCTCGGATATTTACATCTTTTTAGGATGGCGCCTCCCGCTTGCAGAAAGGGAGAGAAACCGCTCGGTGGGAACAGGGCAGCCTGCGGTGCCCTGCCTTGCCCACCTGCGCCAATCCCGGAGGCAGCTAGATCCGGGGGAGGGGGCGCCACCCGGAGCTCCGCCGACAGCCGCAAACGCCCGGGCACCTGGTCCACGCCGCCTGGAGGACGCAGCGAGGGCGGCTCCGGCTCTTCCTCGCTGTCCCTCGAGCCCCCGGTGTCAGTCACTGCCAGCCCGCTAACCTGCATTCAGGTCCACAGCCCCACTACCCGGCTCGGCTCTGCACCGCTGTTTCTGGTCCAACAACCAATCGCTAAAGGACAACAACGCGCGCTGCGCGGGACGGGAGGAGGGGGCGATGCGCCGCCCCGGCCGAGGCGCCGGGCCCGGGATGCCGGGCTGGGACGCGGAGGTCACTGCGAGTTAAAGGCGCGCGGCCACATTGCGGAGAACCCCGACCGCGCTGCGCTGCGGCCGTTTTTTCAGCTTGGCTTCTCGTTTGGGTTTCCAATAACGCTTAGGTGTTGTAAACAACAAAAATAAACCCGATTCTTCTTACGTCTTTGCGCTTTTCTCCATTTGTGACGATGCAACGTTCAAAATCATGTTTTATGCTGTTCCACATATTCGTAGGTGCCAAGGTACAGAGACAGGGATATGAAATCTTTATGAACCTATGATCTTTTCAGGCTGATACTGCAACCCCCCCCCCCCGCAAAAAAAAAACCGCACTGGGTTCTAAATGGTTAAGATTCAGGAGTTGTAGCACAATTTGGTGCTTTTCCAAGGCTTTAATTCTTTGCGGGGGAGGGGGGCAAGGTTCTCGAAGAACGACACAGAGGGGGGCGAGGTTTCAGCAACAAACATTATAGAACCTAGAACTTCCATTCAATATCTAAGGGCTGCCCTCTGTAACCTGGGGCCAGTGTAACTGATCTATCTCCCGGGAACCCGGGGGTAAACAAACAAAAATCACTAAGCAACTTGTATTTACACTAATCAAAACTTATTACTTATTAATACAAAATTTATTACCATAAACTAGCTAACTAGTTTTGAAAACATTTTTTAAAGTTAGATATTTTTTAAAAGTTAGAAAAGGACAGTCTCCCAAAAGGCACATTTTGCTAAATTTTCTTTACTGTAAGAGGACTGCTAAGAACAGAAAGCCTCCAGCTTTAGAAGCTAAAGAAGACTAAATGTGTAAAGAACCATAAAGGTAATAAAAAATAATTGTATTAATGAATGCATGAGATATTGACATTTAGATATCTCAATCCAATTCAACAATTACCCTACAACCCATGAGCCAAAAGTGGTTATATGAATGATTATAATGGTTACGACTGAAGGCTAATGGTGATTGCTGTGACAACTGTGGTACTTATTCATTTAGCAAATGATTTTTGACTGTCTAGTATATGTTGTGATGGATGCTGGGCAAACAGAACAACACACATGGCCCCACGTAACTTATGGTCTAGGTAGGAAGCAAATAAATGCATGGATTGTGTTAAGGTCTACAAAGAAGAATCACCTCTCTGAAAAAATGACAGTTAATCTGAGACCTACAGTATGTGGAGTCATCCAAGCAAAGAGTAGGGAGAGTGATGTTTCAGAAACTGGGAGCAGTGCATGCAAAGGCCCTGAGGTGGGAAAGAATCTTGGCTTCTGTTGGAAGAAGTGAAAGAAGGCCCTTGTGGCTGGAATTGGAGCATAAGAGGAAGGCGTGCGATGAGATCATGGATGAAGCCAAGAGCTGGATCACGCAAGGACTTGCAGGCCGTGTTAAGGGTTTTGTATTCTATTGTATTATGTGAGCCACTGAAGGGTTTTAAGCAAAGAAGCAATGACAGCTTCAGAATTTCTATATAAAAGGGGCTTAGAAGAGGGATTCTGTTTAGGGGAGGGGTCATCCAGGACTTTTCCGGACTGTAAATTTGAATCGCACTTGACTTAAAACTGAGGAAATGTTCATTGTTCATCTGAAGGAATGGGGGTGGGTTGATGGATATTCTGGGAAGAGAGCTACAGCTCCACTCAGCTGCCTCTGAATGCTGGCCTTTGCAGAGCAGCGATATCACCCAGTGTCCATACGCAACAGAATGCTCTTGGAGCCAAAGCCAAATGGCCAGACACAGAAGAATCAGGCGGTAAACAGGCTGGGTTAGCTTAATCGAATCAGATAGTAAAGTAGGAGAGGTAGAGACAGTTAAGTAATTTATCCATCCAAATTAAGTGGCGACATCAAAAGAAGTTACAAAGGTAAGACTTGAATCTAGCAAACAACATACTGTGAAACCAACGCCATGTAAAGAAAGTGGAATCCCGTTATTACAGCCACTGTTAAAATCAGACTCAGTGTGTCCATCTGTCCTATGAAAAGATTCACTCTGGTCATACTCAACCCCTAGGTCCCTACTCCTAGTTTCAAATCGTTCAACCTACTTGAGACAATCAAGTATCTGGGTCTTGAACTGTCCATCAAGTAAGCTCAGTTGTGTAATCCCAGTTTTTCCTAGTAGGAAAGTTTAGAATTAAATAGCGAAATGATACAGCAAATCACTTTCACAGTACTCGTAATTTTTTTTTATTATTATTATTTTGTGAGTACTCGTAATTTTTAAATCAGGCTTAAGAATAATTTGTACATTTGGTATTTACACATCAGATAGAGACACTAATTAGACACACATTTGCTTTGTGATTCTAATTCAGATGTATACAGTTGGCCCTTGAACAACCAGGTTAATTCAAGTATAATTTATAGCGGCCATTCCATCCACGGTTCCTCGGATTCAATCAACCACAGATGGACCATGTGGTATTTACTATTGAAAATACCCACGTATAAGTGGAAATGCGTAGTTCAAACCTGTGTCGTTCAAGGGTCAACTGTAATTGATTTTAGACTTGTAATTTTAAGTTGAAAGGTAGAAGAATTTTGACTTTGACGCGCTCCTCATTTAAAACCTTGGTTTATTAGATTTACAAGAGTTGAATGAATTTAATAGTTACAAGTATGTAAACTCCATGAAGGCAAGGGATGTTTTCTGTTTTATTCATTGCAGTTCATTGTTCTGCTTTGTTCATAGCTGTGTCCAGTGGCTCACAGTAACTGGCCCAGATGTGATGACTAATGAAGACTGATTAAGTACTCTGAAGAATCTGGTTTGAAATTTTCCATAACTGTGTTTCTAAATGGGGTTAATTATTGCGTAAAAGGGCTTTAGTCTTCAATCTGAGTTGATCAAATGTTTTTCAAAGGCCCCCTGAGAGTTACAGTTTTAATTTTATTATTTTTTAAATACCAAATTTACAAACTGAATACATTGAACCTAAAAACTGAAGGAAATTTGATTTTCCCATTTGTATCTCTAATCAAGGAAAATTTGATATTTTGAACTTATATCTCTGGTATACTGAACGTTCATTAAAGACCTGAATATAAGTGATCTTTGCTGTGCACAGAAAGCCCCACTTTGGTATGGTAAGAGAGCTAAGTCCGCAGAAAGGAAATAGGTGTTTATGTATTTATGTACGTGTGTGATATATGCATCAAACTTTGTGATTAAAATATTTGTTAAATAAAAATAAAAATTCTGAGTCTGATAGTCATTTATCTTGCTACTGCGTCCTGAAACATAACTTGAAAAAGATACTAACAGTTTCATTTGACAAATGTGCTTTTAGTCAAAAAAAATACATATACACACCTTAAAATTGGGCGGTTGCGTGGCCCAGGTTAAGAAGCTAAATGGGGGCGTCCCTGGTCGCGCAGTGATTGAGAGTCCGCCTGCCGATGCAGGGGACGCGGGTTCGTGCCCCGGTCCAGGAGGATCCCACATGCTGCGGAGCGGCTGGGCCCGTGAGCCGTGGCCGCTGGGCCTGTGCGTCCGGAGCCTGTGCTCCGCAATGGGAGAGGCCGCAACAGTGAGAGGCCTGCGTACCGCAAAAAAATAAAAAAAGAAGCTAAATGGAATCTGGAAATGAATGTGTCCCAAAAGGACGAGGGCTTTTTCAGAGGCTTTCGAGCTGCAAGATTGGGAGTATTTCTTATGTGACGCATATATACACTCATATATTTGCATGTATGTACTTATGCACATTCACATGAACTGGGCCTCCAAAAGCAGCTAATAAGGTAGCTGACCATGTATTTGGTAGATACATCTTTGTCCTCCTTTGCCCAGGCTCCAAACTGCTAGCTATAATTTTATCAGAAAGCTTGAGCATTTATTGTCTCAGAAGATTCTCTCTTCTTATGTGGACCACCAGCGTGGTTGCCAGGGCAGTGGTCACGCTGCTGGCATGCAGGTCTGCAGCTCCCAATAAATAATGTGCTCTGGGGAACCCTTGTCCTGAGATACATTAACAAATGTGACTTGGAAAGAGGGTTCCATTATGAATTCAGAAGATGTGCTAAAGTTACAACAGGCCTGCTGGACTTCTCAGAGCCTTTCATGTGCAAACGCACCTTGTAAATCTACCAAGAAAACAACAACAACAACAACTGCTCATCAAGCTCTAATATAGGACCACCTGTTGCTGGAACACATTTAGGCAAACAGATCTAGACAGGTGGTGGGAGGTGATAAATCCATGCCGTAAAACATGTTTCGGAGAAGTCCTAAGAATGATGAGGCTGTGTATATATTGGTCTTTGCACCCCTATCAAAATCTAAGCTGAATTTCCCTTAGTCTCTCCACTCAGGTACATCGTCACTTATAACCCACTGCCGACAGGGCTATAATGAATAATGGTGGTCAATGAATTCTACTCCCAAAGAAAGCAATTATTTGGGGATGGAGGAACTCACCAAGGAGAAGTAACTCAAGAGGGGCCTTGAGTGTTTGGGAGGATGGAGAGGCTGGAGTAGGCTGGCAGGATGATGACATCTGTCTCCAGGCCAGACTAAGCGAAGTCAGAGTAATAGAGGGCAGGGCGGTGTGGTGACGCCAAGGAGAGCAGGCATTCACGTCTTTGCTGGGGGCCTGGGAAAAGTTCATCTTTGAGTTCCACTGTTTCAATTGTCATGGTGATAAGCTCTCAAAGTGAAGATCAGAGGTAAATATATAAATGTTCCACTTCACTGCTGGCAAGCAGAAGGCATCAAGAAAAAAATAGCCAAGTTTATTATTACGCTTGATCACTAGCGGGGGGCACTTTAAAACCCTGAATCCTGGGGCTTCCCTGGCGGCGCAGTGGTTGAGAGTCCGCCTGCCGATGCAGGGGACACGGGTTC